TCCCCTTGGGGATCTGAAGAGAAAGGGAGGGAGGCCGGAAGCAAGTGGTTTAAGAGTCATTTTTGTAAGAACAAAAAAGGCAGGTAAAGGGAAAAAGAACAAGGGAACCTCTAATTAATTAAAGTTCAAAAATCACCTCCTGGGGCGCCTAGGTGCCTCAGTCAGGTAAGCGGTTAAGCGTCTGCCTTGGTCTCAGCCCGAGACTTCAGGGTCCTGGGGTGCAGCCCCGAGGTCCCACACAGAGTCTGCTTCTCCCTCCCCCCTCCCTCTGCATCCCCACCCTGCGCTCTCTCTCTCTCTCTCAAACTCTCTCAAATAAATGAATAAAATCTTTTTAAAAAACTACATCCCTCTCAGACACCAACAAAGACACACACAAACACCACACAGACACTTTGAAGCACTAGTTACACTAGGGTAAGAGGGGGTGATGTCGGGGCGCCTGGGTGGCTCAGTCGGTTAAGGGTCTGCCTCGGGCACAGGTCCCGATCCCAGGGTCCTGCTCAGTCGGGAGTCTGCTCCTCCCTCTCCTCCCTGCTTGTGCTCTCTCTCTCACTCTCTCTGTCTCAAATAAATACATAAAATCTTAAAAAAAAAAAAAAGGTGAGGGGTGCCTGGGTGGCTCAGTGGTTGAGCATCTGCCTTTGGCTCAGGTCGTGACCCTGGGGTCCTGGGATCGAGTCCCACATCGGGCTCCCCACAGGGAGCCTGCTTCTCCCTCTGCCTGTGTTTCTGCTTCTCTCTGTGTCGCTCATGAATAAATAGACAAAATCTAAAAAAAAAAAAAAGAAAAAGAAAAAGAAAAACTTACTGAAAATTTCAAAAAAGCAGCAGCAGAGCGTTAAGCCAAGCACCAGGTCCTGGGTGCCCAGATCTCCGGGTGACTATGGTCACGCGCCCACAAAGCCGGCCCTGCGTAGAACCTCCCAGAATCCTGGCGCACAGCTAGCTCTGGTGCTGTCTTCTGTTATCCTACCCTGGTGTGGGCCCAGATCCCAAAAGAAGCAGAGGGGAAGGAGAAAACTCAGCTGACCCCCAAATACCTTGGGTGTCTGGGTGTGGCTTTCCTGAGGAAGGTATCCCAGAGTGAGAAGAAAGGCTGGTCTCATGAATAAATAAGATCCTAAAAAAAAAAAAAAAAAAAAAGGCTAGTTTTCACTCTGGATCCGGGGGGATTTCTGGATCTCTCCTGGCACTGGGCTGGATTTGTCCTTGTGTTCATCCCTCACAGCCTGCGTCTCACAGGCTGGCAGTCTACGGTGATCCCGTCCCAGCAAGGCCTCCTGGATCCTGCCCTCTCCTCCTTTTCCCCAGCTACTGGCCTGGTTTCCACTCACCTAGAATATTCCCAGACCTGCTGACTGCACCCCTTCCACTTCAACCCTATTGTTTCCAATCCTCTGCTTCTTACCCTTAGGTCTTTATTGGTTACACTTCAGGGCCTTCCCTCTTGCAGGCTACACATTTCTCCAGGGTGGGCACCCCATTCCCAGACAGCTGCGCCTCCCTCAGGAGCCCCCAGAAAAGCAGTTTGGGCCTTCTGGGTATTTCCTCCCCTGCCTCCTTTGTTTGCACATCTCTCCTTTTCTGTCAGGCCTATGGTCTGGAACCCGGCCCTGCCTCTCCAACCCCTGGTCCGGAGAGCACAGCTCCTCCGCCTGCCTCCCCAGAGGGAAGCGCGACATCCAAAGTCCTATCTTCTGTTAGGGTCACAATGTGGCCCAATTAAAAGGATTAGGGGAGATGCGCCTCCCAGTTGGATCACTAAGGAGCAGACAAGGAGAAGCACGAGGGGCTAATGGGTGTTTTTTGCTTGAAAGGGTGCACGGAGGCTTGTTTGACCTGCTTTCAACCAGAAAGACAGAGAGACTTGATGTCCTTAATGTCATTACCCCTCCCAGAGGAACCGCAGCTCAGGATCATTTTAAAGAGGGATGGCTTTGAACTGCTGCCTTAGACAAGAAGCTCTAGTTGGAGATGCTTGACTTCGCTACTTTAAAAAGTGTTACCAGGGGGATCCCCGCGTGGCTCAGTGGTTTAGTGCCTGCCTTCAGTCCAGGGTGTGATCCTGGAGTCCTGGGATCAAGTCCCGCATTGGGCTCCCTGCATGGAGCCTGCTTCTCCCTCTGCCTGTGTCTCTGCCTCTCTCTCTCTCAGTCTGTGTCTCTCATGAATAAATAAATATTTTTTTAAAAAAGTGTTACCGGTACCTTGATTTCATTTAAAGACCAAGCTGGTCACATTATCCCAAAGCTTCCAAAATCTCTCAATAGCTCCCCAGAGCCTAGAGAAATGGATCAAACTCCCTGGTGCAGTAGATAGGGATCTTCTGAGGCTTGGCCACAAAGTCACAAGCACCATTTTTAGAAGTTTCATCTGCAGGTGTTGTGTCAAAGAGAGCAGTGACAGAAATGAGGGTAGAGGCTATTCTGAAATACTGTTTTAAAATCTCTGTTAAATAAATTAAATAAATAAATAATAATAAATAAATATAAATAAATAAATAAAATAATAAAATAAAATATAAAATAATAAAATCTCTGTTGTCAGGTTTGCAGATTTTGTCCGTCCATGTGACTCCCAGAATCGTTGAGTAAACACAATGCCCCATGAATATCAATATCAAAAGGAAGTGTATTCCTTTCCTTTGGGTTTTAACTTTTCCAACTACTTAATAGGATAGACAGAGTCATACAGCCTATAGATTTTAGCTGGATCACTTAATTTCCACAAATTACTTACTCTGTGGCCTCATCTTAGAATTTGGAGGTGGGGGGCAGCCCTGGTGGCTCAGTGGTTTAGGGCTGCCTTCAGCCCCGGGCCCGATCCTGGAGACCCGGGATCAAGTCCCACATCAGGCTCCCTGCATGGAGCCTGCTTCTCCCTCTGCCTGTGTCTCTGCCTCTCTCTGTCTCTCTGTCTCTCTCTCTCTGTCTCTCTCTCTCTCTGTGTGTGTGTGTGTGTCTCATGAATGAATAAATAAAATCTTTAAAAATAAAAGAATTTGGAGGTGGGAATAAAGATACCAACTAATTGGAATGAAGGGATGGATGAAAAGAAGGATTTTGGAGAATGAATGCCAGGACCCGTTTACTGTTAAAACCCGGGTGCCCGTAGTAAGTGCTGTCCTCTGTCCCAGGGGAACGTAGTCAAGTTCTTAGAGATTCGGAAATAGTAAAAGACATGATAGTTTAGTGTAGAGGATGAGAGGAGTTTCCTGTGTGGGTAATTGTTGATGGGGGCCGAGGGGAGGGAAGAGAACACGTAACATCAATAAACCACAACCTCGTCCAATAACATAGAAATTGGGAGGCTCGGTTTCAGGTTAAAGCAACTAAGACTCCCCTTTCACATCTTCTAAGTATTAGAACCCCAGCTCTAAAAGGCAAAAGGTCAGAGCTCAGACAACGGGGAAGCTTCTCTCTCTTAGGATCTGACCAAAAAAAAAAAAAGCCAGTAAGAAATGGAACTGGAGTGGAGAAAGAAGTCCTTTCTGGAGATGCACCTGTGAGATTCCCTAGTCGGTGGAAGGGAGACAACTAGCAGAATTGTGTTTCTACTACCTCCCAGGCATTGCCTCCTCAAGCCTCATCCCATAAGGTAAGAATGGCTATTTCTATTTGCGGCTTAACAGAGGAAAATCTAGCCACATCCTTAGGAAGGGACAAGGATCTTTCTGACCCCAAAAGACATGCCTTGTCATCTCCCTACGACCATGAGCAACCATCTAGAAAGTGTCCTTTCCCAGGAGGGTGGTCACCTTCCCAGAGTCATTCATTCATTAAACAAGTCTTAGCTGAGTGACCAGGCACAGAGGTAGGCAATGGAGTAGCTGTGGTTCTGCTCTGGGGAAGGGATATTCAAGGGATCCCCTTGAGGTCCCTTCTGGCTAGAAAGTCCAACAGCTGTAGGAAACTGAGGCAGCCACAGCCCCCTTCTCTGCTGTTCTCAGTATCAGAGTGATTCCCACCCCCACCCACCCCCACCCCCAGGGAAAGGGCCCAGACTACTGGTCTGGCCAGGCTAGGGAGAGCAGAGGAAGGGGAAGACTCTGGGAAGTCTGAGGGTCAAAGACAGGCCCGGGACAGAGTTTCAGCTTGAGACGGTGAAATAGCTTTGGAGATGGACGGTGGTCATGGTCGCACAACGATGCAAAAGCGCTTTGATGGCAGGTGAACCATGCGCTTAAAAATGGCTCACATGGTCCATTTTGTATTGCATGCAGCTTACCACGATAAAAAATGAAAAAGACTAAAGGTACAGTTAGCAAAATAAACTCTCGAAAACAAATTTTTTTAAGATATCTCTCCACCCGGGATTCCTGGGTGGCACAGCGGTTTGGCGCCTGCCTTTGGCCCAGGGCGTGATCCTGGAGACCCGGGATCGAATCCCACGTCGGGCTCCCGGTGCATGGAGCCTGCTTCTCCCTCTGCCTGTGTCTCTGCCTCTCTCTCTCTCTCTGTGACTATCATAAATAAATAAAAAAAAATAATAAAAAAGATATCTCTCCACCCATCATGGGGCTCGAACTCACAACCAAGTCCACAGGCTGAGCCAGCCGGGTGCCCCTTGAGAACAGTTTTGAAGCACAGTATGCAACATAGCTCCTCAATGTGTCCCTATCCAAGCACTGGCCGTGCAGACGACCATTCACCCCACTCCTTTTATTTTAGTTTTAAGCTATGGGTACAAAGAAGGATGGAGGGAAGGAAGGAGAGGGAAGGAAGGAAGGAAGCTCTAGCAAAAGCGCTAATTTACCTGTGGAAACAGCCCCAAGCCATAGTCAAATTGTTTCCCTAAAGGCAACAATGGTCCTGGTTTGCCCCCCCCTTGCCCCCGAGCCTCCAGCATCTGATACCTGAAGCCTCACAGTGCACATAAAAGGAATGTTCAAGTAAGGTGCCTAAAAATAAATATAAATCCTAAAGCCTGTTAAGTAACGATAACAAAGGCAAAACAGGCTCAGGACCAAGTCTTTCCAGCCCGAGTGCCACTGTCACCAGGTCACCCTGACCCTCCCTGGCCGGCAGCCCTGGCCGGCTGGAAAAGGTGACTTCCCCACAACGGTGGAAGGAGCCGGGCAGCCGCGAGGGGCTGAGCCCCGAGGGGTGTCTCAGGTCCAGGCCCGGGGGACAGTGCGGGCAGCTGCCGACAGGGGACAGCACCCACTGCCCAGCCACACGACGCCGGGCAGGCAGCGGCCTTCCCCGGGGAAGGAAAGGCCATGCCTCTAGCAGCTCCCGGTCACAGGTATGGAAAGGGCTAGGTGTGAATGAAGAGATGCAAACAGGTAGTTTCTTTTCCTCCAAGGAGCAAAAAAGGAAAAGTGACTCACTCCAGGCTCTGGTTGGAAGGAGCTCCGGTGCTTTTTCCATAGGAACGTGTCAGTCCAGAAGGTTCGAGGAAGCTCTGGCTCGGGACCATAGCAGCAGTCAGGAGAAAGACCGGGAAGCTAGAGGGACTCGAGCCTGGACTCGCAGTCCTTCCTTCCTCCCTCCTTCCTTCCTTCCTTCCTCCCTCCCTTCCTTCCTTCCTTCCTTTCTTTCTTTCCTCCTTTCTCTCTCCTTCCTTCCTTTCTTTCCCTCTTCCTTTCTTTCTCTCTCTTTCTTTCTCTTTTTTCCTTCCTTCTTTCCTTCCTTCCTTCCTTTCTTCTTTCCTTTCTTCTTTCTTTCCTTCTTCTTCTTTCCTTCCTTCCTTCCTTCTTCCTTCTTCCTTCCTTCCTTCCTCCTTCCTTCCTTCCTTCCTCCTTCCTCCTTCTTTTTTTTCCTCCCCTCCCCTCCCCTCCCCTCTCCTCTCCTCTCCTCTTTCTTTCTCCAGAGTTTTGGGAGAGAAATTGCTAGAGCCTGAAGGCGCCAGGGGACGGTGCGGCCTCTGGGTAGCTTTATACCATGCTCACCACTAGAGGGGGCGGTTGCTCCACCTGGGGTGGTCTCTGCCTGGAGAAGGCGCCTTCAAAGACAGAGACCCCCTAAGGCCCTCAGGGGCATTTGGGCCCTCCCCTAGGCCAGCTTGGCCTGCATTCACTAAGCAAACATCACTCCGTTTTAGATAAGGGAGGCGTGCAGGGTCATCTTGTCCCCAGCACCTGCCTGTTTCCCCCACCCTGAAAGAACTCCAGAGATAGACTCTGGCACCTGGCTCAGGGGCTGTTGGCTGCTGGGTCCCCAGCATCCCTGATACAGGAGCCACCTGAGGGCAGATAGCCCCCCTCAGGGGTGACCGTGCTTTGGCCCCTACCAAGGGAGCAGGGGCTCCTCTCTCCTGCCCAGCAGACCTAGGCACCTGCTGCCGTCCTCGGGGCCACTTCCCAGGCAGGGCCTGAGAGCAACACTTAGACCCCTGGCCTACAAGCCCACATCCCAGGGCCCCCTAGCCCGCCTCTGAGCTCCTCATTCTAGAAGCACCCTTTGTGGGGGTGAATTTGGGCTCATGAGAAACCCCATTTAGCATCTACTCCCAATCCTCCTTGCCCCCAATGCATCTGTCTTTGCTTCATTCCATCTGCTGTCCTCAGAGAAAAGGCTAATTAAATTGAAAAGAGCTGGCCTATTTTTGGTGTTTTTCAGCTAAGACCTGAAGGAATAGCCACAAAGTTTGGAAAGAACCCCAGGGAGCCTGAAAAGCCCTGAGTTGGCTGGTTATTCTAAGACTGGCAGGTCCTAAGTCCCAGAGGCCGTCTGCTCCAGTTAGGGTTCCATGCCAGTCTCTGGGTCATCAAAGGCAAAGATGGGGTAAAACCAGGAGGGATGGGAAACATCCTCCTGGGGGTTCTTGTTCCACGCATCCTGGAGGAGACCAGCTCGTCTATTTCGCCTTGTTTTTTGTTTGTTTAGTTGGGTTTTTTGCTGCCAAGTCAGAAGGGCGACTGCAAAGCAATTTTAAGGAATAAAATTCTGGAGAGAGACGACAGGAGTTGGGATGAAGGGGTGAGATGTGGAGAGGAGGCAGGGGCGGAACAGAGGTCCAGATCCCTGGGCTCAGTTTCCTTTACTTGCATTTGCACAGATGTTGTGTCCTCCCAGAAAACTACTTTCTCCCCAAGAAGAGAACTCACCATGTTTTTCCCCTACACGAACACTCCTTTCGGTTTCTTATTTATCTGCTAAACTAATAAACTCCACAACTGGACCCCTAACGTTCCTTTAAATCAGCCCGGACCTTTCTCACCAGATTCAGTTCCTGCCACCCTGTGTTGTAGCCACACTGGGTTTTTCCCGACGCTTTCCCACCTCTTGCTGTTGCCACACGTTTCGAGTCCTCCACCAGGAATTCCCTTCTCTGCCTAGCAAAGTCGACTCCCGGGTGGACTGCAGTGTTTTACCTCTTTGAAGCCTGTTTTTGCTTTTTCCTTTTTTTAAAACACTCCTCGGAATCAGTCACAGTCTCTGCTGTGAGGCTCTAGAACTTAGAAAATACCTTCATCATTCCTCCGACCAAATTCTAGTGATTTCTTTTCTTCTCTTTTCTTTTCTTTTCTTTTTTTTTTTCTTTCACACGTCTCTGTTCTATGTAAAATATTTGCTCCTTGAGAGCAAGGAGTGTGTTTTACCCATCCAGGTGGGAGATCCCTGCATGGAGCCCAGCGAATTTTTACTGGTGATCTGCTTGCTGGGTTAGGACACCACCGGTGGAGGTGGAGGGAACCTGCCCTTGCGACAATGCAGCGGGAAAGAGGGTTCAGAAAGTTCAGGCAGGCACGGAAAACCTTCCTTCCCACGAGAGGCTAGAAGTAGTGTGTGGAGTGAGACAGCCCCAGCCGGGGCGGGTGTTTTTGCCCCCAGGCTCTTACATCAAACCTCTGCCCTGGAAGATCTGAAACTTGACGCTGGGCGGACACAGTTGCCAAGGGCCATTCTGCTACCTTGAAAGCAAGTGCTCCCGGCCCTGTGCTCACCTGACCTCTGAGTCCCATCTCAGGTTCCCAGGTCCTCCAGGAAGGCTTCCCGGAGCACTCCTGCTCCCAGCTTCCCAGCTAGAACACCAGTCCTTGAGGTTTTATCCTCAGTGGGCAGCATAATGCTGGTGCACGTTTTGTGCCTCCAGATTGTTTCTTTCTTTTTTTTTAAAAATTTTTTTTTATTTATTTATGATAGTCACACACAGAGAGAGAGAGAGAGAGAGGCAGAGACACAGGCAGAGGAAGAAGCAGGCTCCATGCACCGGGAGCCCGACGTGGGATTCGATCCCGGGTCTCCAGGATCGCGCCCTGGGCCAAAGGCAGGCGCTAAACTGCTGCGCCACCCAGGGATCCCTCCAGATTGTTTCTTGATGCTGATGGAGTGGCCCTCTGAGGATCATTGAGACTGCACTGCGCATGCCCTGTCCCTCTGGCTCCACTCCCCAGCCTTCTCCACTGGGCCCCGGGCCCTGGGTCTGGCCTTTGAGGAGCACACCAACCAGTCTCTTCTACTCTGGCTCTGAGCTAGGCTTGGCCAGCAGGACAGTGGGAGTCGGCGGAGAGGACAGCGGGCTCATCCCCTCGCCTCCTCCCGCCTGGCCTGCCTTCCTCTCCCCAAGGCCCTCTGCGGAGCGGCTGCCTCCTGCCGATCCCTTCCCTTAGCCAATGTGGCCATCCCTTGGGTGCTTCCGTCCCTTCCTAGTTTCCTGGAACCCTGCCCCAGTTTTGGAAATAGCCTCTTCATTGGACTCTCCCAATTCCCCTGCTGGAGTGGGGCTTAGACCCGGTGTCCTGTCTACCCCGCGGCCTAGCCCGCTCCTCTGCAGTCCTCCAGGTGGCTGCTCCGCACTGGTGCTTGGGCCCTACCTTGGCTCAGAATCAAATATATTGATCACCTCCCCGGAACTTACATGCTTCTGCCTACGTTCCCCCCCCCCCAAGCGTCTTCAGTTTTCCAGCCAGAGAAAGTGAACGTTTGTCCCCCGACCTTCGGAGTAACCTTCATGGGGTTTGGAATCCACAGTAGCCCTTGAGATCACAGATAATCCTGCTCTTTCCCTCTAGGTTCAGGGTTTTTCTGAACCAGTTAGATTTGTGAACGTGGAGTGGTTTTTATGTTTGTTTGTTTCTTTGGCGGGGGGGTGGGGTGTCCTGGTGTCTCCCTTGAACAGTCAAGCATGAGTCAATGGTCTTCAGCGCTGTTGAATGTGCCAGGCCTCCGCGGCACCCCCCCCCCCCCCAGGTCACTCCTCTAGTTCAGGCTCCTTGGGGACCCGCTGCTGTCTGGGTCTCCCCATTCCTCAGCACCGTGGCAGCCTTCAGGGAGCAAGTTTTCTGGCTCCCTGTGACCCCCAGCCCGCCATCAGACCCCCACTGCAGCGCACAGGTGCACCATGATACACGGGGGCACTTTTCTCACCGGCAGGACCTGAGTGAACGGGTCTCCTGGCTCAGGGGTCCCCAGCTTCGCGGCTGGGAGCTTAGATCGGAACGAGGAGGGCTTTAGCTGGACGAATCGTTTCACCTAGTTCCCCGACTTCAGGAAAAATTCTCCTCCTGGGAGCCTCTCTCTGCGTGCTGCCCTAGATTGCCAGGGGGCCCTGAGAGCCAGATCCAAAACCAGCCGCTGAAAGGGAAACTGAGTCCTAGACCGGAGAAGCAGCCGCTGCCCTGTGTCCCCGAGTCGCGGGGTGGGGGGGGCAGTCAGGTGTACCCCTGAAGGTCATCGAATGCAGGCGGTCTGAACCGAGAGAGGCCTGGAGCCGGGGCGGGAATGCACGCAGGTGGACACAGCTGGGCGACCGCAAAGACGCGAGGGGGTGGGTGTGCGCGTGTGCACTTGTGCGTGCGCACCTAGGCCTCCTGGAAACAACAGCTTTGGCCAGATTAAGCCTTGTGGGTGTCTTCTGCTCCGCTCCACCCCTCTGCCCCCGGGGGGGGGTGTGGCGGGGTGGGGGGGAGGTCCCGGGGCCGCTTCCCTCGGGCCTGAGCCGCCCCTCCCCGCCCCTCCCCGCCCCGCGCGGGATTGAGACGCTCGAGCTGCAGGTGCCCCGGGCTCTCCCTGCAAGCGGCTCGGGCTCCTGCGACCCGCGGGGGTCCAGGCGGGGGATGCGGGTCCCCCCCCCCGACCTCCCCCCGCAGCAGAGCTGGCGGGCGGGGCTTCCCCCTGCACCCAAGCCTCTGCGGGCGCCGCGCGGCCCCCCCGCCAGCCCTGCAGGTGGAAGTACCCACACCCCCTGGCCCCTGGGGAGCTGAGTGGGCGGAGGGAGGGTCGCGAAGGCCGCGTGAGCAGCGCACGGGGCGCGGGTGCAGTGTGGCTCCGGACCGCGGCTCCGGACAGGTGTGTTTGGAGTCTCCGGGGTGGGGGGGCTTCGCCCCCCTTTCCCTGTTCCGGAGAGAGAGCCGGGCACCCTCATTCGGGCTCCCTGAGGCGGGCGGCGGGCAGGGGTGATGGGAGGGTGATGGCGAGGGGCCCCCAGGTCTTGTTAACCTCCACTCCCCCGCTGCCTGCTGCAATGTTTCTCTT